TAATAGAAAACCACTAAACAGTAACTATCTCTCTTAGAGACCATTCCTTCCTTCTGACTCTTCATTTTCTATCTATCTAATGAGGTATCTCAGCGTTCTGCTCTGGGCTTTCTTTTTCTCACCCTATATACTCTTCTTTGGCAATACCATGTACTTGCATGATTTCACTTGTCATTCGTATGTCAATAACTTGTTTGAATCAGGACCTCCTAATCAGAGATCATCCTTTATTTAGCCCTAGACTTACATTCAACTACCTCTTCAACAGAGTCACAGAATTGCTCAAAGACATCTAAATTAATAGCCATACACCAAGGTTGTTTTTTTTTTTTTTTTTTAAATCTTAAGCTTCTCCTTCTAATAGCAGAGAAAATTCATTCTAAGTTACCTAGGTGCTCACTCACAAACTCTAGGGCCATAATGATCGCTTCTTTGACCCCTAACTCTAACAACCAATCACCATTTCCTGTCTGTTACACAGTTGGTACTGCCATAACACTTTCAAAGAACAAATCTGTCCCAATGTAACTGATGTATTAAAGGATGACTTAGCATACTGTCATTTTTTTCCAGATGATATACTAGATGTGCCAGATACGGCAGTGTATACCTCTAATCCCAGTCCTTGGGAGGTGGAGACAAGGGAATTCATTCCAAGTGCTATGCCAGCCTGGGCTAAATAGTGGGATTCTGACTTACAAAGACAGAGGAGATAAAAGAGGCTGAACTTGGTTGAACAGAGAACTGTCAGATCATATAAAATGCACGCATACACATCTACAACACCTAACAGCCACTAAGCTCATCATGTATGTTACAGCCACATCTTTCTGCTTACAATTTCCTATTTGATTTCAGACAGCCCCCTTCCCCCAACCCCCATCACAATAACACACCAACTACGGCCCTTCTATCCATTTCTACACGCAAACTTTAGATTGTTTTTATCTAAAGTAAAGTGCTCTACTTATTACGGTATTTATATATTCCTTCATCATTTAACTCTGAGACTATCAGCCTCAGTAGATGTCTATTCTTCTTTGCTATGCTACGATGGAGTTCCTGTGTCCTGCACTCCCTGGGTCATCTCTACTGCACCACCCCACTTCGTGTAAGAGGTCCTGTTGTTTGGTTTCTGAGACTAATCCTCTGCAAGATTAGTCGTTAACTCTGCAGCTCAGGCTGGCCTTACATTAAAGGCAATTCTCTTGTCTCAGCCTTCCAAGTGCTGGGATTACAGGCCTGGACGGCCACATCCAGCTAGTATGGGCATTTTGAAGAACCTGTATGTTTGTATCCTAACAGAATTGACTACACCATTCAACATTCTCCAGCCCATCCCAATTCTCTACCTTCCACAGCGAGCCATATACACCAAGTAACCACCATGCTCCACCTGGACTATGGCGATGGTCTTATCTTACAGCTCTCAGCCAGCAACAGTGCTTTCCCAGCCACCCTCCACGAGCTACTGAAGACCTGTGTGTCTGCATATGCACATATTTGGTTGTACAATCATTAGAAGAGGATCAAAACTGATATTCAATAAACAGGCCTGAGATGCCACAAGTTCAGCAATGTTACCTAAACAATGATTTAAATGCCCCACCTACAAACACCAAATCCAACCCTGTTTAGAAAAACCAGTAGCTGATCTCTTACAGTTCTCTATACAGCAGCCACAGAATCTTTTTTAAAACTCAAATGAGAGGAGCATGGTGGCTCATGCCTATAATTCCAACGCTGTGACTACTAAGGCAGGAGGAATGTCCAAAGTTCAAGGCCACTTAAGCTACAGCATGAGGCTCTGTCTCAACACAAAACAAAAAAGCAAATGAGTGGAATTTTTCTTTTAATACCCTTTTAGTAGCTCCTCTTCATCCTAAAGATAAGGGCCAAAGTCACAACATGGTCCGTAAGCTCTGGCCTCGCCTTCCAGCTTCACCTCACGCCCCTTTTCTCTTCTCACATCTCGTACGCTTGGCAGTCACTCATTCGGTAAATGGAATTAAGTTTCTCTGTACGGTGATGGGGTAGAACAATGAACAAGAGGCAAAAATTCGCCGGGCGCGGTGGCGGCGCAAGCCTTTAATCCCAGCACTCGGGAGGCAGAGGCAGGCGGATCTCTGTGAGTTTGAGGCCAGCCTGGTCTACCGAGTGAGATCTAGGACAGGCACCAAAACCACACAGAGAAACCCTGTCTCGAAAAACAAACAAACAAACAAAAGGCAAAAATTCTGTCTTCTTGGCTTTTATAATGATGCCAGGCTTCTCACATCAGGGCTTCACCATACGCTGTTTCCTAAGATTGGCCAATTCCTCCTTCAGACTGTAATTTAGATATCCTTCCTCAGGAAACTATTCTCAGACTCTACCTCAATAAATCTAGTTCTTTATTCTATGATCCACAACTCTCAACTGTTCTAACATGTCACTGAACAGAAGTGAAGTGATTTGTTCAACCCTCACCTTTTCTGTTATAGTCCCAGAACTTAACACAGTACCTGACACAGGAAGGCGGTCCATGTGTGCTTATAGATGAGCTGTCTATGTCTTTGTGCTTTATGGATCTATGTCTATACATACTTCCACGTATTTCTACAGAAGACTATGTTTATGTGAACACACATACACACACACACACACGTATGTTCTCCTATCCCTTAGTAACATCTCTAATCTCCTGGAAACAGCTGGAAGCAGAGCTTCAAGTCTTCTTTAAGTTGACAGCTCAATAAAAACCTAAGATCATTCAACAACATCCCAAATGTCAGCCAACAGTGGCTTTTGTCGCTCTGCTACAGGGGAAGTAGGTGGAGGTAGATGTCCAGACATGGCTGTTGAAAAGTTACTCTTTTCTGAGGCAGCCCCCAGTTTCTGAAGGAGAGGAGAGCTGAAAAGATAGTATTTCATTTCTTCTCAGGGTAGAGGCCTTAGGAAATCCAGAAGCTGAGTTCATGTCTAGTGACTCACATACTCACACACCTGAAACACAATACAGATGGGAGCCGGAGAGGAAGGGATCAGACCCCTTGTTTTTCCCAAGCCTGCTTGGATTACCTCACAGGAAGAAAACGAAGGTCAACTGGGAAGAGTCCTCAGTTTCCCTTTATAGCCATTCTTTTCTTCCACATCTTGGCAGTCCAGTGGAGAACTGACTGAGGAGGCTCAAGATAGCCTGAAGCACCAAGGTGACCCTGGTGTTAATTACCATATGGGTCAGCTACTCTCCTGCCCTTCTGCCTAGGAACCTAAAGGCAGAGAGCTATCCCACACCAAAAAGTCTAGTGAACTTCACAGAGTAATTGTTCATGGTCAGTGCCTGCCTCGCCTGGCCGGGCCTTCACATTGCATTTGCTGAGGCTGGCAAGCAGCCTCAGATGAGCTTTGACAGCTGGCACACTGTTTCCTGGACAGCATGTCTATCTACACAGGCATGCCTAGCTCCACCCAAGAGGGTCTGTCGCTATGAAGCTAGTTCTTAAAGATGTGGACAGCAAGCATACACACTCTGAGTCTAGCTGACCCCCAGCCCAGCCACTGAGGACACAGGAAAGAACCAGACTCTGTCTCTGTGCTCCAGATGGACACACCTGGAAGTAAACAAGCATGGACTTATTTCTAACTGAGTTCACTGATATCCCAAGTCCAGGGAGCCTCACAGCAAGAGAAGCTCAGCAGAAGTGATATCTGAACTGCATCTTCAAGGAAAGGGAAGATGCCTGATGACAAGAGGCCAGCGGTGTGTTTCATGAAGGGAGACAGCCAGACTAAGGCTCAACGGTAGGACAGCCTAGGCTCCTCAGTCAAAGATGAGAAGTAGTGTCAGAGACTCAGCTATGTGAGTGATCATCAGGAGGTGGGGGTGGGGTGGGGGTGGGGAGCAGAGAACAAAAAAGAGTGCAAAGGATGCACATGAGGGAAAGGAACACAAAGCATGGGACCAAGTCCACAGCCACCCTGGTGTGGAGCAAAGACTCACAGAACTAGTTCCCCTACTGTTCTTCCATGTCCATGTCTAACCCTGGCCACATACACCAAAAGAAGGCTGCTCTTTCTGCCTACAAGGCAGTCCCTCCTGGCAAACCCCTCTTCCTTGGTTACCCAGTCTAAGACCCTAATCTTCACTGTATCTAATGCATCTTGCAACAGTCTTTTCCCTAAGCCTACAGGGAACTTCCATCTTGACCCTGGTGTCTTCCCTTCTTCAAGATTCCTGAGAATCACTAAGCTGACTAGTTACATCAAATAGATCCTGAGCCTGCTCCAGGGCTATTTTTCTCTAGTAGCATGACATGTGGGCATCATTCTTCTGGTGGCCTGGGCCACTAGAGCAATAATTCCTCTAGAGCAAGACACCAAAAGCCCATTCCTACATCATTTCTTCTGCTAACCTAAGAAGCACAGCAGGTGCTAGGGAAGGCTAGTTTTCCGGGTGACGCATTCTTTATCAGGGAACTAGCCTAGCTATACAGGGTACTTCTGAGGCCCACACCCCCATGCAAACTCTCCTAGGTCTACAATGCTCTATTAGTGCCAAGATATTCCTTCATGTCCCAAGGGGCCTGGCTTCCATTGTCCTCTCCTACATGAACAAGGCTCAGCTAGGGTGAGGTGAGAGCAAGCCAGTTTAGGCAAACCCTCTTCCAAACTAGAGGCACAGGGACCACACTCATGAGCATAGGAAAAAGATCAACGAGGACCATGTTTCTCCTAGTGACAGCACAGCTCAGCCCAGAGATTCGGGGAAAAAAAAAATCCCTTTAACTGGGACTTCTATGTATGTTTGGAAGACACCAATCAGACTCCACCCAGTGGTCTGACCTTCAAGCAGCTCCCCATTCCCAGAAATATCAACATTTCAGTGCATATTACCCAGGGAAGAAAAAGAAGGGATACTGAGAAAATAAAACAAAAGGAAAGACAAGAGCTGGGGTGTGATGGGGGGCATGTCTGAAGTACAGGAGAACCAAAGGTCCTAGGTGGAGCTCAGGTGGTACCTTTTTCAGATTAATCCACTGCTTGAAGTAATCCGCCACTGGCAAGCCTAAATAATGGCACTGGCCTGGAAGCCTACAAAAAAGAGGAGAGAGAACAAGTTGGAAACACACGTCCCAAGTTTGGAGTCTTAAGCTACCAAGTTTAAAAAAAAAAAAAAAAGACCAAGTTTACAGAACAGAGAGCACAGGGTCAAAACATCAGCAGGTCCCCAGCTGAGGAAGATATCCCACCTCCAGCACCATAGATACTGGGCTCAGAGCCATTCCTCAGAACCAAATATGAGTTTCAAGAGATATTACATAGAATAACATCAGCTACTACTACTTCCTAATTTGTTAAATTCTATTTTTAACATGTTAAGGTCCTTACTTGCATTTTCTCTCAAAGTGATCCCGTGAGGTAAGTACTGTTGTCTGTTGTGGTCTCCTTGCTTGCCCTAGGGGTGTTTGCTTTAGATTTATTTTTTATTTTATATTCATGAGTGTTTTGCTCGGATATATACCTGTGCATCATGTGCCTGGCGCCCTCAGAGGTCAGAAGAGGATTCAGATCCCCTGGAACTAGAGCTACAGATGATTGTGAGCTGCTATATGGATGCTGGGAACTGAACCTGGGTCCTCTGCAAGAGCAACAAGTGCTCTTAACCGCTGAGACATATCTCTAGCCCCTGTTTGATGAATTGCTTGAGACAGGAGCTCACTCTATAGCCCTGGTTGGCCTGGAACTCACTATGTAGACCAGGCTAGCTTCAAACTCAGAGATCTCCCTGCTTCTGCTCAGTGCTGGAATTAAAGGCACGTGCCACCACACTCAGCTCCTGGTATGTGTTTGTTTTGTTTTTGGAAACAGGGTCTCATGCAGCCCCCTTGACTCCAATTCCCAAACACTGGAATTAGAAACCTGTGCCACTACACTTTTTGGCAGTGTTGGGGTCGAACCCAGGGTGTCAGGCATGCTAGACAAGTATTCTACCAACCGATCTACATTCACAGTCCTCCAGAGGAGCAGCAAGTAAAGACTTTAAAAACTGGTCAGTAACAGAAAACTGACTAACACAGGGCCCAAGAAGGGAAAATGAGTCTTCAGAAATTATAGAAAACATTAAGTCTGACATGGTGGGACACGCCTTTAATCCCAGCACTTGGCAGGCAGAGAGGCAAGTGGGTCTCTGAGTTCAATGCCAGTCTGACCTACACAGTGAGTTCTAGGACAGCCAAGGCTATACAATGGAGAGACCCTGTCTCAAAAGAAAAGAAATGAAAAGAGAAAGTACAGAGAACAAAACATTCACATCTTCTTCCTAAGATCGGAGGGCTTAGAAAGCTTCCCACCTACTACCCTTCTCCAGGCCATAGGCCTTGAATCCCTGCATGGTTCCTAAGAAGACAACGCTTCACGAGTCAAGACTACCTCAACGCATCGCCCCTTTTCATGACATCAGTAATTGAGGTCACATATGCACTTCTGACCCTACTTCCTATTACTTGCAGTTAGGCTAAATTCTAGAAGCATGCATCCCTTTTCTGTAATACATTGAGCTGATATTTTTGTTTATTTTGTCTTTTTGAGATAGGGTTTCTCTGTGTAACAGCTCAGGCTGCCCTGGAATTCACTTTGTAAACCAGGCTGGCTTCAAACTCACAGAGATCCACCTGCCTCTGTCTCTCAAGTGCTGGGACTAAAGATGTGCGCCACCACGTCTAGCCTAGAGCTGATTTTTTTAAACTTAAAATCAAGTTATTAGTGTCAAATGTTAGAGTGGCCAAACAAGATGAGAGGTGAGAAAACCTTCTCCATTCCCTTGTCTCTAAGAACAGGAGTCTGTACTGGGTTCTCATAATATGGAGGTTCCCAAGTGATCTTGCTGAGTGGCATGTTAACATCAGCAGGTCAGGTAAGGAATGGCAGAGAGCGAGCCACTTAGAGACAAGGGAACGGAGAGCCAGGTACAGACTCCTGTTCTTAGAGACAAGAGAACAGAGAACCCAGTACAGACTCCTGTTCTTAGAGACAAGGGAACAGAGAACCCAGTACAGACTCCTGTTCTTAGAGACAAGGGAACGGAGAACCCAGTACAGACTCCTGTTCTTAGAGACAAGGGAACGGAGAACCCAGTACAGACTCCTGTTCTTAGAGACAAGGGAACGGAGAACCCAGTGCAGACTCCTGTTGTTAGAGACAAGGGAACGGAGAACCCAGTACAGACTCCTGTTCTTAGAGACAAGGGAACAGAGAGCCAGGTACAGACTCCTGTTCTTAGAGACAAGGGAACGGAGAACCCAGTACAGACTCCTGTTCTTAGAGACAAGGGAACGGAGAACCCGGTACAGACTCCTGTTCTTAGAGACAAGGGAACGGAGAACCCAGTACAGACTCCTGTTCTTAGAGACAAGGGAACAGAGAGCCAGGTACAGACTCCTGTTCTTAGAGACAAGGGAACGGAGAGCCCAGTACAGACTCCTGTTCTTAGAGACAAGGGAATGGAGAACCCGGTACAGACTCCTGTTCTTAGAGACAAGGGAACGGAGAGCCCGGTACAGACTCCTGTTCTTAGAGACAAGGGAACGGAGAGCCCAGTACAGACTCCTGTTCTTAGAGACAAGGGAACGGAGAGCCCAGTACAGACTCCTGTTCTTAGACACAAGGGAATGGAGAGCCAGGTACAGACTCCTGTTCTTAGAGACAAGGGAACGGAGAGCCCAGTACAGACTCCTGTTCTTAGAGACAAGGGAACGGAGAGCCCAGTACAGACTCCTGTTCTTAGAGACAAGGGAACGGAGAGCCCGGTACAGACTCCTGTTCTTAGAGACAAGGGAACGGAGAGCCCGGTACAGACTCCTGTTCTTAGAGACAAGGGAACGGAGAACCCAGTACAGACTCCTGTTCTTAGAGACAAGGGAACAGAGAGCCAGGTACAGACTCCTGTTCTTAGAGACAAGGGAATGGAGAGCCCAGTACAGACTCCTGTTCTTAGAGACAAGGGAATGGAGAACCCGGTACAGACTCCTGTTCTTAGAGACAAGGGAACGGAGAGCCCGGTACAGACTCCTGTTCTTAGAGACAAGGGAACAGAGAGCCCAGTACAGACTCCTGTTCTTAGAGACAAGGGAACGGAGAACCCAGTACAGACTCCTGTTCTTAGAGACAAGGGAATGGAGAGCCAGGTACAGACTCCTGTTCTTAGAGACAAGGGAACGGAGAGCCAGGTACAGACTCCTGTTCTTAGAGACAAGGGAACGGAGAGCCCAGTACAGACTCCTGTTCTTAGAGACAAAGGAACGGAGAACCCAGTACAGACTCCTGTTCTTAGAGACAAGGGAACGGAGAACCCAGTACAGACTCCTGTTCTTAGAGACAAGGGAACGGAGAACTCAAATACAGACTCCTGTTCTTAGGAACTTGGGCTGTGAGAACCCAGTTGAAATGACAGGTTCACCTCAGAAAGCTGAAGGGAAATCCAGCTGTCCCTTCATCACCCTTCAAATATCTGACAGATGCTAACAGCAATCTGACCTCTGAGTTTCAGGAAGTAAACTAAGATTCACTTTTACAAAATGCATCATGTTTTTCTTTTCTTTTGTGACAGGGTCTCTCTACATAGCTCTGGCTGTCCTGGAATTCTCTCTGTAGCCCAGGCTGGCCTCGAACTCACAGAGATCTGCCTGCTTCTGCTTCCTGAGTGCCGGGATTAAAGGCTGCGTCACCACACCTGGTTGTCTTTCTTGAGAAGCGGGTTCCTTTCAAACACAGGTGGCACAGTAACGTTACCTATAACTAGCTTTCTGGAGGAGAATTTCTGGCTGGTGAAGGGGTATCCAGAGGTGGTGTGCCCAAATAGGGCCAAGGACCAAGGACATGATGCCATCAAACAAGGCTTCTAAGGGTGAGAGGTAGCCTGAGCAGCTGGAATGGAATCTCCTGAAAAGCAAACTGTAATTGGACCGTTTGAATCATATCATTTCCTTCTTTTTCTTTGATGTTCCTTACCCTTTGCATAGTGATCGCTAAGCTCACTGTTTCAGAAAAATCACACTGAGGTCTGGGTGTGAAGAGGCCACTGAAGCAGGAGGAACACAGGGGCCTAATCAGAAAAGGGAAGCAGCTCCTGTCTTATTTTCCTGTAGCCAACCTCAGCCACCTTCTAATGACTTTAGATGATGTCATGAGTCCTGTTGGTTCTGGCTAGCTCTGGAGAACAAGGGATTCCCTTTTCTGTGGGATTTCAATGGTACATGACAGCTATAGACATCACCTCCAGTTAGGAAGGGTCCAGACCAGTGGGATCCCGCCTGCTCCTCTTCCATAGGAGCCACAGTGAGAACAGACTGGAAAGAAAGATTGTCTAAACAGTCATTCATACTGAACATAGCTCACGTCTTCATTATGGTTTTTATTGCTGTGAAGAAACACCATGACCATGACAACTCTTATAAAGGAAAACATTTAATTGTGGGGGCTCACTTGCAGTTTCAGAGGTTTGTTCAGTCTATTATCATCAAGGTGGGGCGCATGGTGGTGTCCAGGCAGACATGGTACTACATGAGTAGCTGAAGAGTCCTACATCTTTCAGGCAACAGGAAGTCGACTGAAACACTGGGTGGTATTCCAAGCATAGGAAACCTCAAAGCCCGACCCCACAGTGACACACTTCCTCCAACAAGGCCATACCCACTCCAACAAAGCCACACCTCCTAACAGTACCACCCCTTATGAGATTATGGGGGCCAATTACATTCAAAGCACCACAGCCCAACAGTAATCCTGAGTGCCTCTCTGTACTCTATATCTGTTTGAGGTATGAAGGGGGAATATCAATCTTATTCAGGAGCTCCATGCATGAAATTTGCAGATCCAAGGAGAGGAGTAGGGTTGCTAGTGCTCCTCTGACTATTCTAGCCCTGTGACTCCCAGCATAAGCAGTACAAATATAGCAGGGCTCAGACTCAACTTCATGAAAGATACAACCAAGAGCTGGAACTTGAACTTCCAGGTATCTCATGGGAAGATAGCTAAACATCTTTATCATTCAATCCTACTCCAGCATAGAGAACACAAAGCAGGTTAGAGTGGTC